ACTTAACAACCGAACGATGCTGTGAACCAGCTGGACTGGGGATCCCTGCCGTTATTACCTTATACTAAGAGTTAATGTCGGATAATTATACATTTTAATTAATTATGAAAATCTGTCAGAAAATCAGAGTCCAGACTTTAAAATCCCTATTTGAGCCACGTTATATCATTACTTTGAAGAAAAAACATCTCGTCTCTGCCTCCACCTCCCCATTGCGTCCGTTCCTTCGTCCACTCGTTATCGTTCCCATTCACCTAAAGTTCAAGCCTCAAGCCCTCCTTTTTTTTCCTTCTCCACTTCCCCTCTCCTCGCCTCCGCCTCTATCATCACGAGCCCAGCTGCATGCACACAATAGGCGTTTTTGAGAGTAGTTATCGGGGTACTGAAATGTGAAGGCCAGTGGAATTTGGAACGGACTGCAGTTCATACAGCGCACTCAAGTTAGAAAACAGACGAATTTGCAAAACTTTTAAATTCCAATTAGATCTAGTAAAATCTTAAAATTCCAAACTTTCTACGTTCTCAACATGCTCCCATAAGCCAGATAACCAACAGGTTTTGACTTTAGAACCTAATAGTTCCTCCAAGTTTAGAACAGACCAACTGGGGGAACGGGGGGACCAGCTTAGGGCCTTAGAATTCTATTTATAACCTCCCCGGGGAAACAGCTGAGTTTCTTTTCTTCTTCTCCCAGTGGAGAATAATGTGTGTAGCCTTGAGACTGCTGGGTCGTTCGACAGGCTAACGCTGGCCTTGAACTCTGCAGATAAGGCGACCTACCACTGCAAACAAGGTACAATCTTCAAACTATGGGTTCACAGCGGCGTCAAGCAGATTCAGATGCTGAATAATGTGGCACATTCGGTTGATGTTTTGTCACAAAATTGAATATACAGAGGTACAAATGTATACGGATCTTACTTAACTCTTACAAGCCGTGAGTCTATTCCCTGCTTTGCCGCAGCTTTTTCAGTAGAAGTTTTACGGCGCTCGCAACTGTATAAAAAAGTCGTGCGAGCGCCAAGGGGTGGATGTCAACAGAGAAATCCTTCCAGGGAATCAGACTTACTCTGCTCACCTTTCTAGCTGCAACAGCACAGAGTCTTCTTCGACCATCAAGGCACCCCGGAAAAAGCGGGTCACAAGAGTGTGACAAACATACCATAGAAGAAGAGGAAAAACGACGATAGTAAAGATTAGGAAAGAAAAAGCAGCAGTTCCTTGTCGCAGTTCAGGCACAGTTATGAGCATGATATTGATGAACCAGCCCATTTACAATTACAATTCTACTGTGCATAAGAACTCGAGATGTTAATGCCC